ACTCGGGAGATGCGGTGATTTGCTGTTGGAGATGTATCATCTCATTGAGAGATGTGCATCCCCCACATTGGATGCTGCATCTCCTGCTGAAAATGCAGCATCTCCCGACAGAGATGTGAGCACTTCTCCAAATTGCAGGATATGTGACACTGTTGGTTGATCTTGAAACCATGCACATACCCACACCCACCCACATCCTACAAATAGTATACGATGTAAGTTAGCACTTTTAATTGGTATTGGTGATCATGATAAAGGCGAAAAAGTACCTAGTGTAATAAATGATGCAAGAGAGAGATGTCATCTGCACTGAAGTGCATTGTATTTATTATTCACGGAAACGGACCATAACTAAACTTGACGTACACGAAGCTGTATATAATGCTCTGGTTGCTTTTAAACATTCGATAAACATGGAAGAAATGGTTTTATTTTATCTCGCTAGACATTGAAAACAATGAGAGATATGAATATTAAAATAAGTTTCTAAAAACTGTCTTTTCAATGTGCTGATAGGATAAAAACTACTTAATGTCATCCAAGAATTTCAAAGATGATAGCATAAACAAAGTTAGACTAAGTGACGCCGACTTAGCAAGTCATACGATGAATATCGAACACTATAGTTAAGTTTGTCGATAACTTTCAAAAACAAAAGTATTTTTACAAAAAATTATTTCTGTAGTCAAAAAACTATTCAATGAAATGTTGACATTCAACATGTTGATTGATAGAAGACAGCATGTTATTCATGTATGAAGAAATCATCAAATCTTTTAGACTGAAAACGATAAAACAAAAAGTGCACTGTAAACAAATGAAAGAACTTTGTTTTTTTGCTTTGAGCTAGAATTTTCACATGTATATTAAAATAAAGTGTTTACAACAAAGAACAAAAACATACAAAGAAAGAAAAAAATATATATAAATAGCCATCTACACGATCTTAATTAATGACAACATAGAATTGATAAACTATATCTTTATATTTTTTCGTTCATTATAAAGTTCTTTTACTTCACTTGTGAAATCATTAAAAGTAGATGATCCACTGAAGTTGTTTATCAAATTTAATATATTGGAATAGATTGGATTATTTTCTTTAATAATTTTCCAGAAATCAACCGCTCTCTGTATTTTATTAAGACTAGGTGGTAATCGTTCAATAGCATTCAACTGTATACGAACATCTTTATTAATCATTGATATTATAAGATTTAATGTACATTTCAAATCAAACGTTTGGTCATAATGATAATATGTTGAATATTCTCCACTTGATAATGATTTCAAATAGCAAGTTAATAAATCATAACTAGCATATGTTATTGTTCCAGCAATGGACAATATTTTTGTCATTTCATATTTAATGGCAAAACCAAAGTCGATTAACTTCAACTGTTTTCGACCAAAATCTACCATCAAATTTTGTGGACGTATATCACGATGAATAATATTAGAATCATATAAAAATTGAATTATCCCAATA